GCTGCAGCCCTCAAGGTGTGCAATCTTAGTCTGGACAAGACATGGTCACTTCTTTCTGGGACACCAATGTTTGACTCCTTTCTGCTGTCTTGTCTGGGGATAGGGCCTCAGTTTCCACCATGAACCATCTAGGGAGGAATTCGGACTTTCAGGAAAAGATATTCCTCTCAGACTTCCCATCCAGGTGAGCCTGAGATTCCAGTAGATACGGCAAGAGGAGGTCAAAGAGGATGGAAGCCAAGAAAGTGCACCTGAGGTCACCTGAGAGTCAATGCAGCCTAGTTCCCAGCCCAGAGATCTCTGTGGTGGTTTGCTTGCTTGATTACTAAATTACTGTGTTTATTTGAATTGCTAAATAGAGGCGTGAACACTGAATTCAGCAAAGCAAGTGCCATTTTTGACACTTAAGCGATAGTAGAACAAAAGTCTGGGGGTCTTTTTATTTAAAGGGAGTAGAGAAGTAGAGTAGTAGATGTAGGCAGATACACGGTGAAATGAGGGCATGTCTTTTATTTTTACGATGGGGCATATATGACTATGTTCCCACATTGGTGACAAAGATCCAAACCAAGGAAGGCTTGCAGACACATCCTTGCAGCAGCAGTAAGTGAGACATACATTTCACAGCATCTTCTGTCATTCTGAGCATTCATATGAAAAAAAAGATGTAATATGTTCAAAGGAGTAGGTAAATTAACATTGCTTTATAATTATTTCATTACCTGTGATGTCGTATATAATGTGGGTTAGTTACCCATTTACCTTCTCTATTACAAATTGTCTGTGTGAGCTTTTTATTCATTATTTTGATTGTATTCTTTCAAACAAAAAATTGTTTTTGTCACCAACTGGCTGATGTCATTTAGTTAGTTTATATGTGTATAGATGTGTTTGTGGAGAATGTATGAGTTTATAGATTTTGTGTGGTCAACTCTATCAGTCAGGTTTCTTGTTCTCTCTTTATTTCTTTTTTAAATTTATTTATTCTACTGAAATACTTAAGGTGTCATTTCCATATTCTTCACTTGTGAATCTTTGCCTTAAACAAAAATGACAGTGAAAGTTCTTCCCTATGCTTAGGGATAATAAATTACTTTTTATACGTATTTCCAACTTGTTTTCACATCTCCATTATTCCTTATTGTTCCTTAGCATTTTGGGATTAGATCTATTTCTAAAACTCATACCAATTTAGGCATTCATCTTTAGGATGACTTTTTTTTTTTACCATATGACTAAAGATAAAATATATCTCCATAAAAATATTTGAATCCATATATCTTTATATATGATGAAATTATAACTGAGGTATTGCTTCTCCCCCACATTTGAAAAGTCCTTGTCATATTATTTTATTTCCAAATCTTTGACAGTTTAATTTTCAATTAGTGACCTATGTTTATGTTATTAAATTATTACTATTTTATGTCTTTATATAAGCTAGTTGTAGATTTTCATTCAATTTTGTTACATACAATTGTTTTGAAACCACTATGTTAAGCTAATTTCATTCTCACTAACATTTTTTTCCATAAGTTATTCCTTTCCTTTAAAACTTCTGTTTCTATGTCATGCACACCTACATATTCATATACTTTTATACAAATGCAGGAACAGAATCCTATGCACATCATAAATGATCTCTATGTTTTAGTGCAGTCTTTTTAAATTTCTTTATCTCGTCTCCCCTTATCCTTCTTACTCAATGATACCTTACAGACTTGCCTCTGATCAACTAGTGTAATGAAGATTTATTATTTCAATAGCTGCATAACATTTCATGGCCTGACTGTGATGTTCATACTTTTGAAGGTCTTTCATATTTTTCGTCTTGCATTACTATTACATCAATGCTCAAAAATATTCTGGGATTGTTAAGTTCAAACTGTGGTTCCAACTAGGAGTGATTTTGTCTTCCAGGGGACAGTGAGCAATGTTTGGAGACATTACTGGCTGTCACACTGGGGAGGGACGGGCAGAGGCCAAGGATGCACTAAACACCCTGCACTGCAGAAGACAGACCCCACCACGGAGAATGATCTGACCCAGAAGGTCGATAGTGCTGAGATTGAGAAACCCTGAGTTAAAGAATATCTGTACTTTTCATAATTGTAGGTGTCTTCAGATTGTTTCCCCAATGTTGTAACACTTTACACTTCTGCCAGAAAAATTAGAGTACCCCATTGCTACTTGTTTAAAATTTCAACCCCAATCAGTGTGACAGCTTTTTAAATGTTTTTCCAGGCTGATGGGTGTGATAGAGATTTCTTGGTGTTTTTTAACTATTACTGAGTTTTATCAAAGACTTATATATTTGATCACCATTTTGATTTATTTATTACCTTTATATGCCCATATACTATATGCACATTATTCTATATTTTTTAGCCTTTCAAATGATTTTTAAAAATTATTGTGTCAACTTGCTTTTGTGGAATGTTTTGGCCATAAAAATGTTTTACATTTTATTTAGTTGAATATATCTATGTTCTTACTTCTGTGTTTCTTGCCTTAATTAAGATTATTTGGCCTGCCTATAGATTTTAATATGTGGTTTTCTAGACGTTCACCTAAAAAGTATTGATCACTCTTACAGTGAGTAGGTAATCCCTTTGATTTTTTGTAATATGACTGAGTGGGATCATCTTCATTTTCTTCCAGGACAACATCCATTTTTCCAGTTTTATTCAACAATCCAATCTTTTCTAATATATTGAAATACAACTTTACTGTGTGTGAAATGAACTTATATACTGAGAACTAATTGCTGATTTATTCAGCAAATAACTGAGCATCTGCTGCATGTCATAATTTCTAAGAACATTATATGTTATATCTTTTATGTCTGTTCCTTTGAAAATTTAATTATTAATCCGTGTTGATATTATTAAATTATTGTGATTTTGTATCTTATTTTAGTTTTTGATGCTCCACTCAATTTTCTTTAACAGAGGTGATTTGAAACCACTCTGTTTAACCTAGTCTCATTCTCCCTGCCATTCTTTTTTTTCATAATTTCACATTTACTTAAATTTGTTCCTATATAAGTGCACACGTATTCACATACATTTGTGAAAATACAAAGGTGACTAACACTGGTGAAACCCTTTGTTTGGATCTTACATTATATTGGTGAAGTCAGAGTGCCGTGAAATAAATGTGGTGTGACATATGTGCTCAGGGATAAATCACAGGAAGAAAGTTATTCAGTGTAGAAGAGTGGAATTGTCACAGTGAGTGCAGGATCTTATACAGCACGGTCTGTAGAGGGCTTTGCATGTCGGATAATGACTATAACCAGGACTAGGGTGTTCACACTGGATTTGTCCAAGAAGAGATCAAAAACAAAGTATGAGAAAAACGAAGAGAAGATGCCACATAAGAGAAGTGAGGGAGGAGCTTGCCTCATCTGCCACCCAATCATATGAAAACTAAGTGGTCAAATAAATTGAGAATAGGCATAGGAAAAACAAGTCTTCTACTCCTGATATTAAAAACATCTAACTTTTTTAGTATTTTGTGTACTATTTCCTTTTGTGAATTATTGGTTTATTTTCTTTCATCAGTTTTCACTCGGGGTGTTCAATCTGTAAGGTGTTTTGCACCATAAATTTATCACTACTTTTGTCTTTTGGGCAAATTTATTTTTTATTCTTGTTATTTTTGATGGGTATGAAGTGGATGTAATTAGTGTTGGAATACTGCCAGAAATCAGTGAAGCTGTTTCTTCCTCACTGTCTCTCAGGGACCACCTGAGCTTGTCAGATCTGTTTCTTCCTCATGTCCATTTCATTCCCCTCTCTCTCTCTACGTTTATTAAACAGAGTGTTTATGTTTCTTTAAATATAAGGCAGAAAATGGACATGCCATTTTGGAGCCCCAAGTTTATTTGTCATAGGAGGCTTACAATAGGAATATCTGGGTACCATTTCTAAAGTCTTTAGGAGATAGATACTTGATCCAGAAAGCTTGAGTTGTATCCACTCACAACTTAAACAGTGAGGGAAGGAGGTAGAAGGACACAGAAGTAACACAGAGGAGGAGGCCTAGGTGTGCTGTGTGTGTGTGTGTGTGTGTGTGTGTGTGTGTGAGACCTTTGTGAATTGAGAGCAGTCCTTAGGGCAGGGGTAACTGGACTCATATATTCCAAGGTGACCCTTATAATACCAGGGCCATAACTCAATCAAGGAGGGAATCCTTTTCAATTTCCTTTGCAAACAGATTAACAAAGTGCAAAATTTAGATAGGACAAATAAGGGACTCCCTGTGTCTGGAGGTTTCAGCAGCAGCAAGGAGACGACCTCATTCCTCATCATTCTCTGACACCATCTCCTCACTCTCTGCCTTGGTCATCCCCCTCAAAACACTGGCTCATTGTGAGCCTTCTTCTCTAAAACAATTATCTTCCTCAAGGTCTTTGCACTGGCTGTTCCTTCTGCCAGGCACACGCTTCCCCAGATAAGCTTGTGTTTCCCACTCACTCTTGTTTCAGTTGTCTATTAATATATCACCTCGTCTGCAGCTCTTGCCTGAACTCCCAGTAAAAAAATAACACCCTCCTATCAACTTTCTCCTTTCTGTGTGTTCTTTTTCATCATAGTATCTGTCACAATTGGATATGTTGTATTATTATTTTTATTTGATTATATTCTTTCTCCATCATAAGATTAGGGATTTTTGTTATTCAGCAATCTATTCTCTGGACAGTGCTTGGAACATGGTCTATATTCAATACCTGTGTTCCAAAAATGCATGAAAGATACTCAACAAAACAGTAGGATACATTATGCCTGAGGAACAAGTCAACAGTGGAAAAGGAATTCCTAAAGAGAAACAGCACTAGGGATGCCCTGGTGGGGACCAGGCCATACACAATATATTGAGATTAATTTATTGATTCTAAAATATAAATGTAGCATTTATCCTGTGTTACTAATGTTTGCTTGTGTGAAAATTAGTCATTTATTTTTTTTCTATTTCCTAGTAGTCACCTCCAACACATGGAATCAAGGAATGAAACACGTTTTCCAGAATTTCTTCTTCTGGGATTTTCAGAGGAACTAGAATTACAGGCCCTCATATTTGGGCTTTTTCTCTCCATGTACCTGATCACTGTGTGTGGAAACCTGCTCATTATCCTGGCTGTGAGCTCAGACTCCCACCTCCACACCCCTATGTACTTCTTCCTCTCCAACCTGTCCTTCGTAGACATCTGTTTCTCCTCCACTACCATCCCAAAGATGCTGCGGAACATCCAGACCCAGAGCAAAGTCATCACCTATGCAGGCTGCATCCTCCAGGTGTATTTTTACATATTCTTTGCAGGATTTGAGGACTTTCTCTTGACTGTGATGGCCTATGACCGCTTTGTGGCCATCTGCCACCCCCTGCACTACACGGTTCTCATGAACCCCCGGCTCTGTGGACTGCTGGTTCTGGTGTCCTGGTTCATGAGTGCCCTGTATTCCTTGTTACAAAGCTTAATGGTGTTGCAGCTGTCCTTCTGTACAAACTTGGAAATACCCCAATTTTTCTGTGAACTCAAGCAGGTGGTCCAACTCGCCTGTTCTGACACCTCTCTTAATGACACAGTTACATATTTTGCAGCAGTGCTGCTGGCTGGTGGTCCCCTGGCTGGCATCCTTTGCTCATACTCTAAGATATTTTTCTCCATACGTGGAATCTCGTCAGCTAAGGGGAAGTACAAAGCATTTTCCACCTGTGCATCTCACCTCTCAGTTGTCTCCTTATTTTATTGTACAAGCCTGGGAGTGTACCTCAGCTCTGCTACTACCCACAGCTCACACTCAAGTGGAACAGCCTCGGTGATGTACTCTGTGGTCACACCCATGCTGAACCCCTTCATCTACAGTCTGGGGAACAGAGACATAAAGAGGGCTCTGAAATCATTCTTTGAGATGGTAGCTATAAAAGGAATAATTGTCCCAGGTCTGAAGAGGTGACTTTCACTGCAGGGCTAAAAGCTTCAAAGCCAGAAATTGCTTTTCTTTGATCATACAGTGCAAGCAAAACTTGTTTCTTCTATTTTGTTCCGTGGGTGTCCATTTCTGACTTCAACTTCTTTACACAATTTAAGTAACTCCTCTATTAAGCTTTTGCTCAGCTTGATATATAGACAAATTTCCCATTTGTACTTTTTCCCTACTTAACAAACTTTTTCCCAACTTTGTATTAGAAATATTTGGAAATTTCCATTTCTTTCATGGGGCAGCATGGATTTCTTAAAAATAGTCTCTACTTTAATGATATATATCATCACAAATAATTTTTCTCTTCTGTTCCTTAAATAATAGTCATGAGTTGTATTACTCATATACTAAAAAACTACAATTGACAACCAAGGCAATTTACTTAATTTTATAATAGGGCAAACTATGAGACCACTATTTTTCACATTTGTGTACATCATTCCTTTCTATATCACCCCTTTATAACTGCTCATCCCGATGATGTAGACTTTTTTTTTTGGTAAGGGAGATTGGCCCTGAGCTAACATCTGTGCCCATCTTCCACTATTTTGTGTATGGTACACCGCCACAGCATGGCTTGATGAGCGGTGCATAGGTCCACACCAGGGACCCCAACTTGCAAACCCCAGGCCACTGAAACAGAGGGCACAAACTTAACCACTACACCACCGGGCCGGCCCCCTGATAATGCAGACTTTAACGTATAGTGTGTATAGAGGTAGTTATTAAGTTTTATTCTCCTCATTAGGATCCTGTTGTCTTATTCAAATCTGTGTCCACAGTGTCTGCCATAGTGACTGGCAAAATAAATGCCAAATACATGTCTCCAAGTGGAGACTATCCAGAAGCACAAATTTGAATAAATAAGTTGACTTAATTTGGCCTTTGAATCAGAGTAGAGCTTAAATAAAATGAAGTAAAATTGCAAATTATACTTTGTATTACTAAGTAAAATATTTCTATTTCTAGCTATACATCTACACATTGAAGTCTGGGAGACTGGTATCCATGTATAAGTGAGTTTTTCATGGGGATGAAGAACTGATTGGTGTGTTTATGTTTTTTTTAATTAAATTATTTCCACTTCATCTTGACAACTTGCAGTGCTACCTACAAGTAATACCCCTTCCATGGTTCTAAATGAAATAAAAATGTTGTCATAACCACTAAACGGACAGGGAATAACAACATAAGCACCATCCACTATATAGCCTATATAAATGTGTATATATCCTTGGGATCAAAGGATGACTCACTAGAGAGCCTGAATTCCCATCCAGTCATGTGATTCAGAGTCACAGGTTTTAAACAAACTGGCATATCCTTCCAACCTCTCCTGCTTACCTGGTAGGGAACCTCAATGGAGTCAATTTTTAATACGGTTATCTAAAATAATTTTTAATAACATATTAATCAGGAATGCTCTCTTCAAATATCAGAACAAATGCCTAAAATGAGAAGAGGCACATTATTATAATTGTCCTTAATTCTGCTCATTTTTATTTTTATAACAGTGAGCTATTGCTGCATAACAAGCTATCTTTATAGAAAATGGTATTAAAATGCCTTTATTATCTAATGAGATAGTGTGGTGGGGACTTGTTCTGATCTCTGCTGGGCTCCTTATGAGTGTATGTTCAGCTGTGATTCTCTTCATTCTGTTTCTAAAGCTCATCCACTATGCAGCTGTATTGCACTCCTTTCTTCAACCAGTATGTGGTAAGTTTACTCCATTTAAATATGTAGGTTAATCTTATAGTTTTTTTTTTTTTAACTTTTTGTTTCTTGCAGTAACATTGGTTTATGACATTGTAAAAATTTCAGGTGTACATCATTGTACTTCTATTTCTGCATAGATTACATCATGTTCACCACCAAAATACTAATTACATC